TATGTATCGAACATTAATTAAAATAGACCTAGACAAATCCCCTAGCAAATCCCAAAGCACCAATTCCTATAATTAAGTTTTGTACAAGGTAATAAATACAATTTTTTCCCCATCCATGACTCTTATCCTAAGCATTCCTCTAGAACTTGATCATTTCCACGGTTCCTCACTTATCTCTTATGGAAAATACCTCCTTGAGCTCATCGTCAGCTTCATATGATGCTGTTACTTTGTGGAAAAAAAAGTTCACTGTTTTGACAAGGACAGGGGATGTATAAAAAAATTGTATTGGTGTAAACTGTATGTATGCATATTAAGAGTTATGTTATATTTTTTGTTTAAAGCTACCCCTCCCCTTGTGGTTCTACTAATGAAGTATTATTTACTTATTAATGTGATTGTTGTTGATTTTGTGGTTATTTTTAAAAGTGAATCCAAGAATACTTGAAAGCGATATTTTTCTCTGCTTGAATAGAATGCTTTCAAAAACATGGATAAAAATATTAAAAATTATTGTACTTTTGTAGAAACTTTTAAATTAGTCCAAGAAGAAACAATGAATTACTGCCTAATAGCGTTAAAAGAGATGTCATTTTTTTAGTGAAAGGGCCCATGGATTACAGCATTGGTGTGCCGCGTCATATCATGAAGAGTATCTACTTCACTTTGCACTTGATAGAACTCTGCATGTTTTAAATCTGCATGAATTTAGATAGATCTAATCTTCTTTCTAGCCCCCGCTGATTTACTGACTTTTGATTGGTTAATATGTTGTATTTCTTTGTAGCGGCCACCATCTTTATTCCGTCGCTTAATTGGTGCTGTTAGACATTCCAATACTAGCCTAAATCAATTAGAAGATGGCGAGAAAGACAAAGATAGACATAGTGTTAGTTCAGGATCTGATGGTGGTTTTAGTGAGTGGAATAGAAAAGAGAGTTTACCAGGATCTACACATAGGTAAGAATGTAGTTTTGATTCTCAGTACATAACATATTTAAACATTGTGTTGCATTATTTTGAAAATACTACAAAGTACTGTCATAGTGCCTGAAGACAGGACAATAAACATATCAACACAACGTCTTGCAATGTAGTAAATTATTTCTACATGTACTGCATTTGTCTACCTCAAACAATGCATATATATATGATCTGATGATTCATGACAACTTGTTAAAATTTGGTCTCAGAAAAACTTTGGCTAGACATTTTGTGAAAGGTTAAAATCATCAAAATGTACACACCAAATATATTGATATACAATACTGCATGATGATGGACCACTCCACTTTGTGCTGAAACAAACTACAGGTGATTGATATTCACATATGTTCTGCTTCTATGAAAAACATGTTGTGTACTATCATAACCATGGTAATACATTATTATAAACTGTTGCTATTATTTCTTATTATCATCAACACATTAATAATAAAAATGCTTTTTTCTAACTTTTTTTGAAGCCTTGATAAAGAACCACCACCCACAGAGCCACCTAATAATGATCGTCTTGGGTGGAGATCTCTTAGCATCTTTAGACGTAGTCGCAGTAAATCACCACGTCGTCCTACTAAGGAAGTCCCTGAGAGTTCTCAGGTAAGTGTACTACTATCTAGTAGATAGTTTTAGCAAAAGACAAGATGAATGTTTGATACCTGTAATTTAATGACCAAACAACATATTCTTTAATAATCTAGTAGCCATTTCGAAAAAAATTCATTGGGTTTGTGGGCTAAGAGTATAAATAGTTCAAGCCACAGTGGCAAATATTACATTGCTTTTTTAATCTTGGTTAATTTTCAATTTGTTTACGATATTTATCCGACTCATGTAACAAATTGAGATAAACTGCTATATACACTTACTTTAGTATGACAATTGACAAATTTGTGATTCATCATAAGAGGGTAGTATTTGTAGCTAAATCTAAATCCAAACCTAGTAATAGACCCAGGAGTATCCCTATGCCTGGAAGGACTAGGGTTCTATATTGTAGGAAATTGAAAATATTATACGAAAGGCCTGAGAATATTTCACATATACAAGTTGTTTCTAAAGGTACCATATAATCGAAAAATTGCATTATTCTAAACTGCGTCAATAAAATGGTACTTATTTTCAATATGGAAATACCTACATTCTATAAATATTCAACACATGATTAAACATATTTCAACGTTTACACCCTGTTTATTTTATGGTATTAGCCATCTCATTTTATTCATAAATGTAGAAATAATGGGAAATAAATATTGTCATCACACTCACCTTGGCTCAACACCTCTGGTGTTCCCTCAAGTTGTCATCACAAAAATTGTGTGAGACTACTCCAAGATAAATCAATATTGCATATAAGAGAACGATTCTGCTTCACAAGGTTATATCACAATGGCTCCCATACAACTCACAAAATCCCACTGAAATGTGTGAGGGCATATCTGTGGGAGGCATTGTGTTTGGACATTGCATGGACGGCCTTGTGGTCATCTGCCTGTGATATGTGTTGAAACAGTTAGGTTATACAAAATGTAGTCTCCCATCATTCATTCAGTCAGTCCAATGTGAGCCTACCTTCCATATAGCCATCTAGGGAATGCAAACCTGTATATGCATCAATGGCATGCAAAAATGTTATCCCAGGCTAGTCATTACCATAATACAGCATGTTGAAAATAGTTGTTGCTAAAGGCCCCATGAAAAAGTTTTTCATGTACATTTGAAAATCGAATTTTTATATATTTTTGCTTAGCTGGTAAACTAGCAAATAAGTAAGAACATGACTTGCATTTTAAGTTATCATCAACCAATGTTTTTTTTTGCAAAACTGAAGCAACATTTTTTGTGGGGCCAGAAGCATACATTTTAAAATTGAATCCATAAAAATTGAGAAAGATAAAGGTGAAAATGAAAGTAGATTATTGAATCCTATCCTGCCTATCCTATTTCTACCATTGCTTGCTTTGATCACACTCCTATACCCTGCATGTTGTATTATTACCATTACGAATGCACGTTTTAATGGTCTAAGTTTTCACTGTACAGTATTGGTATTTAATCTGATTTATATTTGTTCATATCACTGTTTGTTCTCACTGGTTTTTATCATTTTAAACATGTCAGAGAGCCAGCGGATATGATGTATAAAGTTCATAATAGTTTTCTGTGGATAACTTAAGTATTTTTAAAGCAATGTTTAAAATTAATTAATGTTTAATTATCATGCAAAAAAATACTTGGTTATCCACATTACCTCCTTATTCATTTTAAAATTCAATGAGAATTGTCAATTCTGACAGCAAAGAAAAGATCTCAATACATTTCAATAAAATTCCCCAATTTCTCCACACAAACCAGTGTTGACAAATATGCTATATATTTCATTTTATAAAAGTTTGATTTTGCATGTTATATGTTTTTTTTCTCTCTCTATGTTGTCATTACTGTGTTTTGCATGTGATATATTGTTCTGCGTCTGTGGTACCATGATTATGCAATACATAGGATTCTTTGGTGGACGGCATCTCCTTACATTCCAACTTTGCTGAATCACATTCAGGGATAGACGGACCCTACCAATATTTTCCAGATGAGGTATACCCCATTCTAACATTTTATTTTTTACATTATTATTGCCTTCCCTAACGTCTACTGACCTCCTATTCCATGCCCTGTATCCTTTCAATGCTAATGTTTAGATTAGTAATAATGTCTTACATGAATAACAAATATCAGGGTATAATCGATCTATTTAAAAAGCATGTTTGAGTCATCCATCCTTTGCCTCAGTGGCTGCTGCCTTTCCTAGTTCTATCTTATCCAGAGAGCAACAACTTCAAAGGTGGCATTAATACTTAGTGTAGCCTAGTTTTCCTTCTTTAAAATGCTGTTAATTGCTTATCGTCCCATTGACGTGTATCCTTGCATACATACGGGACTATATGGGAGTAACAGAAGGTCAGAACAATCACAAAACTCGTTTATTGATTTCTGATCTTCAACCCATTATATGCTGCTATCTCTGTAGAATTATATGGTGGTGGGTTATTAAGGTTTACCTCAGCAACTTTAGGTAGATTATTTAAACGTTTATAACTTTATTATTGTATTGCATATGAATAAGAATTGTATTATTATTATTATTATAAAGTGTTGGTGCAAGTGCTGTGCCTGAAAGATGCAATCTATACTCGCATGAGGAATGTAGAATATCTTATATGAGCGATCAGTAACTTGTACGTCTGTTTTCTAATGTAGAGAGGATTTCTCATATATCATCCATTAGGGTACAAGTTTATAAGATTTAAATATAAAATTTATGTACATTATACTCTGATTATAGAAATGTTTTAACATCCTTTCAACTTGAGTGTATTACTCAAACTTTGTTTGACTACACACACACACACATATCAATTTGATTGACAAATTTATGCCACGCAAACAGTGTTTGATTGAACACACATCTGTTCGATTCTTTAAAGTTGAGTTTAATTACACTCATATCTGTTTGGTTGCCGATTCTTTAAAGTTGAGTTTAATTACACACATATCTGTTTGGTTGACAATTCTTTTCAAGTGGAGTTTAATTACACTCATATCTGTTTCTTGACAATTCTTTAAAGTTGAGTTTAATTACACTCATATCTGTTTGGTTGCCGATTCTTCAAAGTTGAGTTTAATTACACAAATATCTGTTTCTTGACAATTCTTTAAACTTGGGTTTAATTACACTCATATCTGTTTGGTTGCCGATTCTTCAAAGTTGAGTTTAATTACACACACACATATCTGTTTGGTTGACAATTCTTTAAAGTTGAGTTTAATTAAATACAAATCTGTTTGGTTGACAATTCTTCAAAGTTGAGTTTAATTACACTCGTATCTGTTTGGTTGACAATTCTTCAAAGTTGAGTTTAATTACACACACATCTGTTTGGTTGACAATTATTTTCAAGTTCAGTTTTTTCAGTTTGAATACACACTTACCTACACTGTATTTGGTTGACGTTTTGTTTTTAAAGTTGAGTATATTCCTCAGAGTTTGATTGTGTGCACACATCATTTGTTTGCTGGCTTGCGTAATTCTGCAGACTGACCTTTAGCATTATTTCTGATATCTATAACCTTCCTCCTTTATAGCCGGGCATTGAGCTGAGACAACGGGATCCAGAGAGTGGAGCCAGGGCAGACAGGGACAAATCTCAGGTAGTGTATAGCAATCATTTAATATATACCTGGTTTAGCATCACTTAAATTTCGTCAGTGGCATTGAATGGCCATTTTTGAAGCAAGATTAAAAGCTACTTTTCGCATGTAGATACTATAGGTAATAAATCTATTTTATAGATGTACTCATTGTATGTAACTTTTAACCCGATCTGCATAATTGTACATTGTACATTCAAGACAAGTTGTGAATATTGTATACCAGTTTGTAAATTTGTCAGTGATTCTTTGTATTTTTTTTTGTTTTTCTATGAATTATTGTATTTTACTTTTGTTTATTTTTAAATGTATTTTCATATTTTGATATGTATATTTAGATTAACAGAATTTCCTCATTAATATTTATACTTTTGTTCATACTCAAACAACAAGCAACCATACATTTTTGTACTTATTTTAATACTGATACTTAGGTCTGTAACACTTACTAATATACCAGCTGTATTCATTCCTTGTTCAAATAATGTTAAAAGTGTTCCAGGCAGCGTTCAGACAATGTTCCGTGTGTTCAATATAGTGTGCCAGCAGCAAAATGTTTTTTGAACCAGCATTAATGTGCAGAATGCCCTAACAGTTTTTAACCGAGTTGGTTCCTGTGTCTATGCGGAATACATAAAATATTATTGACATCATACATGATTTATATTCAATAGTCTGTGAATCATCCCTTAGTTAGCTTTTCATATTTCTGGTAGTCGTGTGGGGTTTCATACATACAACATGGTTTCAAAATACTGAACACTGGAATGAATATAACTGTTATTTTTCTTACCTTACTGACATCTAACACTGAACAGTTTTCCTTAATTTATCTATTTAAAGCTTTTCTTCCTGCATGTTCTTTAACCATATGATCTTACCGGACCTGCTTTTTTACCTACTCCTCTATCTCTTTCATCTGCTCATGCTGTCACAGTTTCCCTTTTGGTGTGGTGTTTGTTTTCTCAGTCAGGGGGTTGCCACTCCTACTACCCATATAGAATTCACTACACCAGTCACAAGTTTGTGAACATAAAATAAAGATAAAATCAATAGATCAAGACAATTGTCCCCCTGTGATTGTATGTAACACCATTTGATTGAAACACATTCCTAATCCTTGCTAGGATGATCATTTGATATTAAACATTGCATTCCCCAATTTAAAATTTGGATTATTTCTGCTGTATAAAAATCAGCATGCTTACCATTCTGTTGCATGATTGTAAATTAGTACATGGCCATATTGGTAGGAGTGGTTAACAATTAACTTCCCTGCACTGTTCATTTAATCACATGCTAAATCATGGCTTTATTTTTTCACTACCATTTTCCATGCACACCTTGATCGGAGCAGACTATTGCAGGCAATGCTTACCATCATACCAATAAACACATGGGAAATTATGGGAAGACAAAGCTGACTACCAAAGAAATGAATTCTATTAACTATCAGTACATGAATTCTGTTGGGCATTTAGGCCCTGATCAAAATAGAACACAGGACACTAGCTCTAAACACACTCATGGTTACGGCTTGAGCTCCAAAAGTGGCCAAGTGGGAAAACCCAGCCTTTATGATGAGTTACATTATAACATGGGGGAGCGAAGAAGATCCAGCGTGTATTCTGAGTACTCTGAAGAAGGATATGAAATGCCTGATTATGACAGGCTTTTTCAGAAAGAGTCTTGGATCCAAAGAGAAAAGAGTGTCTATCATGGTAGTTTTAGGAATGAAAGGCAGAGAAAAATCAGTAGAGGTAGTCCAGAGCATAGACTTAGTCAAGATAGAATGAAATATGATGTTAGTTTAGATAGGAGAGGAGCAACTGCTCAACCATCTGGGCAGGACGAGTATGATGGTAAATATTGTACAGAACCTGGACCAGTGAGAAAGGTCAGTCAAGATATGACTGACTCTACTAGACGAATGGAAAACAGAAGTGCGAGTTGGGATAGGCTTGAAAGGAGGGCTAGTTTAGAAAAAGTGGATGGACGTCATAGTTTAGAAAGAATGGATGCAAGACGTAATCAAGACAGTATGTATCGAACATCCAGTCAAGATAGATATGATAAAAGAATCAGTCAAGATAAATTAGATAGATCTAGTGTAGATCGATTAGATTGGTTAGATAGACAGATGGATCGGTCAGACAGACATAGTCAGGAAAAACTAGATAGAAAAAGCAGTCGAGATAAAAGATCTAGTCAGGAGCATATTGATAAAAGGTCCAGTCAGGAATGGTTTGATAGAAGTAGTCTAGAACGATTAGATAGAAGATCAAGTCAAGATAGATTGGATAAAAGGTGTAGTCAAGAACGTATAGATAGGATTAGTCAAGAAAGGTTGGATAGACCTGATAGAAGATCTAGTCAAGAAAGATTAGATGCTGCAGATAGAAGTAATCCACGTTTAACTCCAGTTGATGAAAGGCTGCTTGATGCTGATAACCGACGTCATAGGAGAGATAGTAGACATTCTGAAAGTTCTGGGAGTAGAAGGGGTTCCCGGGAAGATGTTAGTTATGACCATCCCAGAAGAAGTAGTCAGGGACCTCCAAGAGAGAAGACACATTATCGACAAAGCAGTCTAGAGCGAATAGAAGAAAAACTTGACACAACTGAAAATTTATCTGTAGATAGAAGATCTAGGGAGGGTAGTAAATACAGAGAGTATGACAAAGATTCTGAGAAAGATAGAAATTATTCTAAAAAGAAAGGGGAGTCACCAAGGGTGTCGGGTAGACAGAGAAAAAGTATTCAAATGACTGAATTAGAGACATTAAGGGAAGAGGAGAGGTACCAAGAACCAGATTCTAGTTCTTTAGATCAGGACAGTAGGGGTAGGAGCTCAAGCCGTAAATCTAAAAGTCTGCAGACAAAGGAGAGACTTGAACTTGAAAAGATTGAACTACGGGACCAACAACGGAAAAGGAATCCACCTTACACTACCAACACCAACAACAAGGTGAAATGGATTTAAGCAATCATCAGTTACTAGTACTTTGGTTTTTGACATTTTTGTTTGATGTGATTTAATTATTTTGATATTTGTGTTACTTTATATTAAACATCCAGTGTTTTATGCACCCTTTTGACGTATTTTTTGTTTCGTGTGATATTTGATTTGTTTTAAAGTATTACATATTTTAACCATCAATTTTTTTCATTATAGTTATTCTAATTTTGATTATTTAAATTTTCTATTCTCCAAGCATCTAGAAGTGATCACGCACTCTTCTAGTCATGCATTGCTTTGTTGTTGTAATCAACCACTTTATGTTCACTATTCATGTTCATTTCCATCTCATCATCATGTGCGCCTCTCACCCACTCGTACAGCTTCCTCACCCTCGATTATCCAGAAAACTGTGCTTGCACATGTCAAAACGAAGCAAGCAGTCACATACATCACATGTTTCTGTGCCAACATTCGCTGTCACTGTGCAATTAAACAGTTGTCAATAGTGCCATTATTATTTCCCATTGTACAGTTTCAAGATGAAACAAATATGGCCCAAATGTTGTATGCTCTAGGTGGGACCAGCAGCTACTTTTAATAGAGCAATTTTTGCCCTGATGTTTCATAATTGTGAAACATCTTCATATATTTTTACAAGACAATATTGCTTGAATGTAACATAATCTTGGCAAGATAAGCAGCTAGTCTAACCAAAAAGTATTTCTAATGCTGTATTATTTGAAGACATGCCACCGTTATATATAACTCATGGGCAAATGTTGGCACATTAAGCATCCCACATACACATGGCATGAGAACATCACAGTGAACTGCATACATCTCACAATAGTTTTTTTTTCCAATTTTTTTCTCTATATGGAAATGTATATTTGAATGAGATTGAGAAGAATATATCACTGTTTGTATAGTTGTATTTAGCTGTATAGCATGGGTTATGTATTTATACCTGTTGAATATTCAACTTTGTACTTTTTTCAGCTGTCATTCACATGCCTTAGATGTACTTCAATTCTTCTCACTGCTAATCAAATCGAATCTGCATTAATTAATCTTTCCCCAAATCTGTTTTTGCAATCACCAGGACAGTGATCTACCTCAGAGAAGAGCATCGCATGATCAGAGCAGTCAACAGGGTGGTGATACTAGTACAGGAGCAGGTAGTTTCTTCACAAACCTCTGGAATCTCATGAATTAAATGACCAGAAGTTACAGTTTGTGGCATGTGTATCTGGTGGGTAAGCTAATATTGACAGAAAATGTGCAGAAAACATAAAATCGGCGACTCTATATTCTCTACTTTTGATTCTGATCAAGTTTAACCAACTAATTTTTCTGCATTATACTAACAAACTCCAATGTACAATGTTTCTATCTCGGCACCACTATGCAACTATTGTACTTGCTGACAGTCATCATCATTCAAAACATCTTGTCATATTATGCTTCTCTCACTTGACACCACAAATCTTCCACCTCTGGGCATTTCATCAAGGGTTTTTCTCTATCTGTGTGGTATCTTTCTGCTTTTCTAACCTACGCATGTTATTTGATGCCATTTTTCAGGTAACTTCAGTCTTGATCTGAAGGAACTGGATTTTACTGACAGTATAGGTATCATGAATGGGGGGAAATTTATCTTATTTAAACTCGTCCCACAATTGAAACAAGTTGAGTTAAATGTTTTGTTTATCCAGGCCATGTAGTTGGGCTTTGATAAACACATTATTATTATAATTTTTTGGTACAGTATGAATAGCATCTATTTAAATTTATGATAAATTGAATAACTTTTAAAAAAAATATCCAAGATTATCCATATCGTATTGATTTGTTTTGTAAATGTGGGAATAGTTTGATAATCAGATTTGTTATTTGTGTAATAAAAATTTGTATTTAAAAATGTGTCTGAGCAAATAACTAAAACGTATGTATACATATTGAATGAACAATCTGCGTTTGACCTCTCGTGTAATACACAAATCTCAGATAATAATGGATTGCATGTTAATTCTTCATCTTAAACTAATTGTATTCTGTGAATCAACAGTGCAATTACATATACTCTAAATTCGATTTTCCCTACACCAATGTTAGCCAAGACAATGTGGAATATGTTTAGTGTTGATTGTGAACAGTTATTTAAGCATGGTGATATACACTCATCACTATGATATAAAATAAATATGCATGATTTTATCACATGAACATTTGGAATGTTACACAGCATATCTTTCTTAATGGTGGTGGGTATGTCATACTTTCAGAATATTGTTGCCATACTCGCATGAACTTTTTTTTTAGCTCTGCTGTTGACAAAGTCAAGCGGAGCTATTAATACTACTTGATCGTCTGTCATCGTCAACTTTTCATTTTCGGCCTCTTCTTCAAAACCGTCAGCTGTATGGGGTTAGTTACTCCGAATGTACTTTGGTAGTTCTAACTCAGATTCGTTTATTTTGCAACAATACCTTCAAATCGGCTCGTCTGATTGCTTTGATATTTTATTTGTAATTTCTTAAGTTTGTACCAAATTGCTTCAATATTTCTTTCAATTCTCTAGTTAGTTTTAGTGAATATTCCTGGACATTCTTTTTATTTTTACCACCATGTTAAAAACAACTAGCCTTTGTATATGCAGGTATCTAGGATGGACCTTCAATTCTCTAATTTTTTTGGTAACAAAATATTTTTTGACACATGCAGGTACATTCGATGGCCAAATTCATTCTTTTATCAGATTATTTTGTTACTGTTGGTAACCTCAAAAAATGGCTTGACTGATTAATTTGATATTCCTCTCTCAGTATGGTTCTGAAACAGCGAATCTATATCAGCCAACTAGCTGCTTGTTAAATAGTCAATAATACATATGTTTCTATTTATGAATAATATTAGATATATGAGTGCTGTATATAATATAAGTTCATTAGCATTGAATTTATTGAGCAGATCAATTTTTGTTTCTAAAAACAATTTCGCCAATTCTGTGAAATTTATTTTTAGCTGTTACTTATTATTGTCGGGAAATTAAAATGAGAATTTGTAAGAGCGATTGTGACATTCAATATGAATTAACTTTGAAGTTAATGCTTTGAAGTTAATTTAATTCAAATGTACTGTTGCAATATTATAGTTCCCTGCATCCAAGCTGTACCTGGTGCTTACCAATGTTTTGACTTTATAGCATGATTAAACCTTGTTAAATTGCACATAATTGTTATCAGCAGTGTGAGTAGAATGTATTTAGCTCTCTCATCACATTTACAAAGTTTGAATATTGTCTGTTTACTACTAACAGTTATGTTATTACATAAATTATTTCCATAACTCCAAAATTAGGGTATTGTCTTGTTTTCAAAAATGTTTGGTTTTGAAGGAAACCAATCTTTTTCTATCTGAAATAACTGAAACTTTATTCATTATGTAATGATATAATAGTAGATGCAGAGTTCACCAAGCAAATAATCAAACTGTTATGGACTTGATGTCAGTGAAAGAGCTTAAATAGTTAATTACTGCTGATGACATATTTACTATTGTACACAATTCTAACATTCTTTAATCTGAATTTCTCTAGGGAGGTTATCAGAATATCCCCCACCCTATAGACAATCGGCTGATCCACGACTAATCCCTGGTTCCCCAGATCTAATGCAGCACAGAAGAGACGATCATCTTCGACCCATTACTGATGATTTACTTAGACAAAGCCAGGAACCAAAGATTAGGAGTCCTCCACATGCTACACCCGAAAGTACACCACCAGAATTTCGAACACCAGAGAGAGGTAGATCAAGATCAAGTAGTGGAGTAGGACTTCCTCCTAATTTAAGATCGGGAAGGAGCCCTAGTCCTAGTCCTATTCGTAGACGTCCCTCACATGACCCAAATGGAAGTACTGCATCTCCAAAGAAAGGAACAGGAAGAAAATTGCCAGCATTGCCAACTGATATTGACCCACAACGTGCAAGGGAACTTACTCTCTCAGCTTCTTCCATACAGTCTCCTCCTATGGGACAATTACCAAGATCACGACCAACATCACCACAGCCACCACGTAAACTATCAGGATCGAGAGAAAGGGACCTCAGCCCATCTAAGAGGAATACTCTAAGAACATCTCCTACAAAAAGTGAAGGTAGAAGTCCACATTATAGTGGATCAAGCCGATCACCTGAGAGGGCACGTTACATGGATGAAACTTATAGACATCATAGTGATGTGCCACCTCCTTATGAAGCTGCAGCAAGACAACCACTGCCACCGACACCTAGTCGGCATAGTTCAATGACTCCTCGTGTTCCAAACGGATTATCAGGAACGCAACAGGATCGAGGTAGGGGGCATGGTGTGCCAAATTACAGCCCACCTCAACAACCTGGACAGGCACGATCACGTGGCCCTGGACGTACACGTAGTGGCCATAGTAGTGGTAGTGCAGGTGTAACAGGACACACAGACTCTGATGAAGAGGATTGGTATTAGTTGCTGCAGCAAATATCCATTTCCCTGTACAGAAACATAAAAAACAAGAAAATAATGTGACTTATTTAATGCCAAAACTTGTTGCTTGCTTGTGTCGATATTGGTCCCTGCTGTCGGTTTGTCAACAAAGTTCTCTGCCACAAAGATGTAATGCTGATTTTGTGTTACAGAATTTGACGCTGTTGTGACAGCAATATGTCTACCCGTGCTCATCAACATATGCCTGACTTTGTTTAAAAAAAAAGAAAACTCTTTGAAGAATCTATATGTGGCTTGACATACAACTGACTTATTGGTTGAGATGACATGGCTCACTTCCGGGGAACAGCTGGAGTATTATTCTTCATGAGTTAAAAAAAAGTAACACATTTTTTCTATAAAAATAAAATATTGTGAGAATGGTATAAAAAGAATTTTCCATGTAAATAAGATTTGAATTTACTTCAGCGACACCTACAGTTACATCAGCACTTTTTTTGTATATAAATATTGTTGGGCGTTGTGTCTAGAGATACTCTAGAATGGTTAAGGTAGAAAATAAACTTCCTAGTCCGTATTTATTAATGTGTCAAAAATCCAGCAAACCAGTGCAATTTATTTTTTTGAGTTTGTCTGGTATTATTAGTACCTACTGTTAAACACTTTTATTATTTGTTGGAAGATTAGCCATGTTTCGTTATTTTGTTTTCCTGTATTAATACAATGAACTATACAAAATGGCAGCCATATCATTTACGGTTTGTGCTACAATTCCAGCTCGTTATTGCTTTTAATATATTTACTACAAAAATGAAAATCAAAGGTTGGTAGCTCTAAACTGCCATGCAGAACATTTGCTGCTGTTTTTCATCCTTTTTGATAATTTAGCTTAGTTCCTTCAGTTTCAGCGGGTCTGATTCATACAGTTTTGTGTTACCCGTCATGTAACATAGGATTTTGGAGTACAGTTTATTTGCTATTATTATTATTATTTTTCCTTTTATGGATTCACGGACTATGCAAAATGCGATTTGATCATTAACTCATGCTTGTAATTTATGTGCATATTATATTGCTATTTACAGACAATATTGTCTGTCTGTATCCATATAAATTCAGGTGGTTGTACATTTTTCTCAAAATTTATTCTAATTTATTGACAAAAAGGCAATTTTATAAACTTTTTTGCATCTTTTTCTGACATTAAAGTAAGTTTACAGGGTAGTACGATTAGAATGTTGGAAAGCCATGTTTTCCCTGCAAATAGAAGGAAGGTTTAATCAAAATAAATGATAAAAAAAATAGGGGGCTATTTTTTTCTATTTCTGAATTTTAAAATGAGCGATTTTAAACTTTAAAAGAAATGCCAGACTGTGAAGACTAAAATGTCAAGTGGAAAACTAGTTGGACCAGCATTGTATGTTGCCTGACCCATATAGTGTGCAATAGTAAGCGAATAGAATTTAATAATTAGATAGGTCATTATCAATTGATTCATCCATCTTATTTCTAATGTAATTTAAACGAATCACTCACACACATACACATATGCACTCACTGTACACTGTTCTTAAATTCAAAATTACAATGCATTTTAATACAATGGAGCTAAGAAATTGATAATTATGTACTATTTGACATTTCCACCATCTTACATAACTTTTAAGCCCATCGTAGTTAGGTATACACTTTTCAAAAATGTAGTGTTTACAATCCATTTGTTGTTTATCATCTCCCCATCTTTTGTCTGTACCAACTTCGTTTTTTATTTCTGCTGATCCTTGTATCACCACTTTATACCGGAAGAAATGCGAGCCAGAAGATCCGACCATGACAAAGTCATTCATACTTGAGAAGAAGATTCTAAAACTGGGAATGCCGTCCCACATTTTTTATATATCTAAGTCATAGATAGGACATTAGTATCCTATTTTTTTTACTGGAACCATGAAGAGTATTACGTTCTGCTTGAAATGATCTCAATTCATAGCACATTTTCTGTATATCTATGGATTACTCACTCCCATCTTGATGGGTTTTGAAATTCACACTTTGATATTGTGAATAAATTATCCACACATGTTGTGTGATCAGTTTGTTTTTAAATATTGCTTTTACATATGCTCTATATACTTTTTAACTACTGAACATTTGTTTTAAAAAAGAAAGAATGAATTTGGAACGACTGTTTAGAGACTGCTGACAACTTAAAGGGCGGCAGTCGTCGTGCCGCGTCCTGTTCGATATGGGACTCGTAGCGACGTATACAACGCGTGTAAATTACATTGTTTATTTACATGAAATTTGAACACGCGCTGCGCGACGACCACCGCGCTTTAAGATCAACTAACAACATCCCTATTGTTAACTAGGTGGTTTTGAACCGAAACCTGTAATGTGCAATCAGTATTTCAATATTTTCTGATTTCCTATTCTCTTTGGTTTATCTTGTGTAAATATATGAATCATTAGATCGAATTCTATTACATATTTAAATATAAGGCTTCTGGCTTTGACTGCTGCAGAATTGTTCTAATTACTTTCAGTAAGACATTGCCCGAACGAAGCTGACAAACAAAAATCATTCTGTATTGTAATTGTGAATCTGAGTATTAGAAGAAGTACACTAGTATATCTTATATTACACAAGGTGAAGTAAAGGCAAAAAACAGTATTGTAAATATTAACATTACAATAATAATGATTCAAGATGTATTGCATTGTATATAAACTGTATATGTACAGTTATTCTAGTAACGAGAGGATGGCCATGATTGGTCAGTATTTTCTTATACAGGTTATGAATGGGCAAGTTCTTAGTAATACAGTACAATGTCTGAATGAAGTGATAATTATACATTAATTCATTCTTGTGCTACATATTTTAAACTCGCTATTGCCGGTAGATTGTAAGTTTTACACGAGTAATTACCATAGTTAACGAAGTGGTGTCAATTTGCCTTTGAAATGAATGTACAGAATGAACATTTTGTTTCCGTCTATGAGTTCCTGGTGTTGACTTTATACATCCACGTTCCGAGACGCATTTCCCTCTTGTGTTGCTTATTGCCATTAAGTTAATTTTATATAAACAGTCACTGAAATGTAAAATGTAGAGACGGTAATTAGAGAATAGTTATGATTTACTGTCCAATTAGTTAAGATATATTCTACAATGGAGAAAGTGCTTCATATTATAAGGAACAAATTATGTATGAATCTCGCAAACCCATCTAAACCAAATTGAAAACTTCTCAAAGTATTCTGTTAGACGATTAGGCTAGGGACTTTTTCATGTAAAGAATTTTCTGCTCGCATTTCTTCAATTCCAGCTCTGTAAGTCAATAGAATGTCATGTTATTTATTAAATTGATGGAATAAATTATACCATTGCTTTGGTTTTTTTAAAGAACTTGAAACCACGAGTATTTGTCGTCATTGTACTGGAGTGTTGGGTGGACGTTTTATTTACAAAATAAACTGCAGTTCAATAAAGCAGAAAAATAAATAAATATAATTTGCCAAAAATATAATATAAACAATTAACATTATCAGATATTCAAAAGGTGCGCTTCATATTTTTGCGAGATTCAAACGAAATGGCCGACTGGCGGTCATTTTGTTTTTATTCATGTCCGTGTCCATGCCGATTTCTCACTAATGTATAAGAGAAAATACTGCAAAAAAATGTTGTTACGCTGGTACGTACACCCATATGCTGCGAGAAATGTAGTTAACATTGTCATGGATACAATGTAAACTATCTTATTTCATCCCACACCCCTACTGGATTGCATGTAAATTACATAATATATTATCTCTAGTAATATCCTTGTCGCCGACCCAATTTAAAGAGTAGAAAATATGCGGAAGTTCTAAATTTGTTTTTAAAATAATGCAAAAAAAATACATTTTTAATTTGTAGCACCCCTTGGTAGACATTTTAAAGTTTCCCTTTCATAACCTTGAAGTTATTCGATTCTAGTACATTAGTAGTAGTTGGCTTGATTTGGAGGATTTTTTAAAGACAGTGCCCAGCTTGTTAATACTCCGAACGCACATTGAAATTCATTGACTGCCAAGTATGCATGCTACAAGCATGAAATTACATGCTGCAAACCTTCAAAATACTTTACTGCACCAAGCAACCAACACCGTTCCGTGCACATGTAGTAGCGTAGGTATATGTTCACAGATACGTTGCATTCAAAAATTATTCATAATAATTAAAATAGTAAAATGAAGCAGAACGTCATGATTAGTTTCTATTTAATTGCTTACAAACTCCAAAATGACCAGTGGCGAAGTCACTTCCAAATTGTCTTCGATCCGCCCTCCGAGATACACTTCCGTAAATTATAACACACATAATGCAAATAACATACCTTCATTCACAATTCTGATTAACTATTTCAATTCAAAATTTTTGAATGTATTTAAAGATTGAATTTTAGTTTTCTGTGACGACTAAAATGTGCAGCTTGTTTAAGATTGAACTCTCTCTCACGGAATTTCATATTCCTCTGTTTAGTAATTCTCTTTCTCTGCTCTTTGGTTGAAAGTCGGTCGATGAGCATTTTTGAGAATTGTATGCTAAAATCATAATAAATATATAATAATTTGGTATAATGTACAAATATTTGAATGAAGTAATTGTGAATGTTTTATACTCTTTTTGGGACGAAGTCAGAAATCGGGAACTATTAGTCTGGCTTCCGTCCGTCCGTGTGTCCAGAGCCATTTCTCCTATATGCTTTGACCGATCACATTCACAGAGCAGTATGATAACATATACACATTAATTTTCATTACCATTCGACCGAGTTTGCGAGATTCAAACAAAATGGCCGACTGGCGGTCAATTTGTTTTTGTTCATGTCCATTCAGATTACTCACTAGTGTATTTGCCTGATTCAGTTGAAAATTTGCATATAAGTGCTATACTCTTAGGTTATCCCAGAGGTTGTGTTATTTCGTGATTTGATAACATTTGTCGAATTGACGGTCATTTTGTCTAAAATTCTGGTCATATTTTGTAAATGCGTCTGGAACCGCGTTTCGGAAATTAATAGGGAGATTCATTCAAATTTTGTATAATGATTAGCGCATATTGGATATAGGTGCACGCCATGCTGTTTTCAAGATTCGAAAAGAAATGGCCGACTAGTGGCCATTTTATTTTTGTTCATGCCCGATTCAGTTGAAAGTTTGCACGTAAGTAATAAACTCCTAGGGAATACCATAGGTTGTGCGACTTTGTCGCAGTTTGTAAATGTGTCCAGAATCATTTCTTGCAAATGCACAGGGTTACCAGGGCACGTCATTTTAGCGACTGACTCTCTGAGATGGCTTGTAAGATTACGTTTAAACTCGGTATAGTGATTTTACGTACATTTTTGTGCCCCAATGCCATAATGTTCAATCACATAATTATAATAAAACAGTGGTAAAGGTAATTGTTGTTGTTTCCATGTATTACAATATTTCACCCACTGGCGTCAGTGTATTGATGAAATACGCGTCTTTCAACTTATACCAGATGAAGAGTCAATCGTTAATTATTCGTAAATGGAGTCAATTTTTGTAGTTTTCTTAATTTATTCTGCAAATATCGGTAAAATAAAAGTAAGTCTTTGGCGAAATTTGAAAGAGCAACTAATATTTTTCAAGCTGGTATATGTTTTTCATTCTTTTTGACTGTTTTTTCGAGTTTAAAAAATGTGAGCTGGCTGGCGCCTTCATCCCTTGTCTATTTCATACACTAGATACCAGCCGATACCCCCCCCCCGCTCATAGGGAGTGCGTACAGTTGATCATAGTTCCTGGGCTCCCTGTGGTATCGTCGCTGTTTTGATCCCCATTTCACCGTCGAACAGATAATTTTGACACCGTTTTTATTTTTGACGAAAACCCCATTTATTTTAGCCAAAGGCGACTTCAACGCCCGGCTTCAACGCCGAGTTTTGGGGTACGAATCGATTTCCAACTGGCTGCGGAGCATTTGATGCAGCCCGGATGCAGACCGTCTATCATGTCACAGAGGTACTGTGGTGTCGGGCCCAATAAACACGCAGACAACAGGTTCGAAATACAAGCAAGGTTTACTTGTGTGTAATAACTAACAGAACTCACAAAGATGGCAGCCCTGTCCCAGAATCCCATCTGTTGCTAAGTAACCCAACTGATGGCGGGAATATGGCCATGCAAAGTACGGTATATGTTTATACTATTAATGCTCAGACACAACATAATTCCCCCTCACGGAAAGGATGCATAATCCTAAGTATAAACATACGAGAAT